TGTAGAATTGTAGATCTGAGATAGATCTGTCAAGCTCGCTGTGATATCTCCTTGGTTAAAGGGACAATTGAATATCTGAATTTTTATTCTGTGTAAAAATTGCTCTTTGAAAATGCTACAAAGTAGTTTATTTTCATTATGATTAATTAATTATCTGTAATTAGTACTATTTTTTTCTTTCTTTCTAGAGCTGTTTGCATTTTTCTATGGCTCTTTTAAAGAGCTTGCGAGAACCAAAATACCTAAATGGTTCTGTGCGTTTTACCGAGTGGTTCTTCTACTGAAAAGGGTCAACTACTTTAATGCTTAACTTGGGATTCTGCTAGAAATGTGATGGATTTTATTCTGGTTTTAAGTTCCATGCAAGTTGTGAACATTAATAGTCGAGTCCATAAGTTTACATATCAAGTTCTTTTGTTATTTCATAGCAAACTTTTGTAACTGTTCAGCAGATTGCAGTACAGAATCAAATGAATTACTTGTAGGACCCTTACAGACAGTTGATTCACTTAATGGCACTGCATGTATTTTCTTATGATGTGGAGAACTTCAATACATTTAAGTGCATATTTCCATGAAGAGCTTTGATACATGTAGTTTGTATAATGGCAGTAGGCTTTCGGTAGGCTCTATTAAATGAAGAGCTATGATCTTTGTTGTGTACAATATGAGGCCTCTTTGTGTCCCTTCCCCCTACCCTTGTTTATGTCCTGTCTTCATATTGCCAGCCAACCGGAAGTCAGTGACTCATGCATCATAAAGTATGACCAGGGGAGTGTTTCACAACGACTAAGATCAACTTTAAGTTGGACTTAAATATGGCAGGCTGTTCATGCCACAGTTTACTCTCACCATTATGATCTTTAGATAATATTTTTTCCTTCAATAATGAACTATCAAAAAAATATATTCTGTAGATTTGTGACCATGATTTGTAATTTTGTATGTCCCTTGAGAGACAAATGCCAGTATTAAAATGGTGAGAGAAAACAGTGGCATGAACGGCCTATCATAGTTAAGTCCAACTTAAAGTCGATCTTAGTCTTTGTGAAACACTCCCCAGTACTGACACAACAGAGATGCTTGTATTGGTTTATGTTATTACATCGAATTTGTTTTTCTGTATGCTTGGCCATTGTAAAGTGTTTCAGGGTCATGTGAAGGATAGACTTTTGTAAAAGTATTGTTTATTTTTTTAAATGCTTTTGACAATATAGGCATGACCTGATGTTGAGATTCGGGGGTCATTTGAAGGATATAAAAGGTGTTATCTGCCAATTGTAGAATTGTTATATTATGTGGGTCATCTGTGATCATTAGAATCCCATTGATGCTATTAGCTGCAATTCTTCATGTATGTCAATATAGCACAGAAAAGTGTACAGAGGAGAAAAGAGGTAAACAACAAATATATGAGTTGTACGTACTGTACAACTCATATATTTGTTGTTTACCTCTTCTATGCTCTTCTACCACCCCCTCCCCCCCCTCTCTCTCTCTCTCTCTCTCTCTCTCCCTCCCCCCTCTCTCTCTCCCCCTCCCCTCTCTCTCTCTCTCTCTCTCCCTCTCTCTCTCCCTCTCTCTCTTTCTTTCTCTTTCTCCCCTCTCTCTCCCCTCCCCCTCTCTCTCCCCTCCCCCTCTCTCTCCCTTCCCCCCTCTCTCTCTCTCTCTCTCTCTCTCTGGTTTGTGCCTTTACCATTATAATATCTCCCCTTTTCCTCTTTTCCCATTACTCTTTCCCCCATACCTTTTTCTTCCCTCAATATACCTCCCCCTTTTTCTCTGGCCCTATTTTCACTACATCACTTTCCTTACGTTCTTCTCTCTATATCCCCTTCTCCACCCCCCCCCCCCTCTAATCATATTAATTACTTTCAGTCTTCCACTCTCACACATACTCATGTTTTTCACTTTCATTTTGTTATGATCCATCATCGAAAAACCAAAGCTGATGATATACAGAACAAACTCAGTATAAAGTTTAACTGAGTTATTAATTTGAAGCAAATAGAAAGACTGAGATTATCTGGTCTTTCTAAACCAAAAAATAAATACCTGGCTCCATACGCTGTCATGGGCATGCTGATGAATCACTCAAATAAATTGCATCGTGTAGGCCATTATATCTTTCACATTGTTTGGTTTCATTTTCATTTTAAAGATAAAGACCAGTTCTGGTTATGCGATTGCATTGTGAAAGAAAAGTTGTGCAATGTGGAATCGATCAGAAAGGGTTGATCATCTAGCATATAAGTATTGGTGTGTACTGCAAGGTTCTGGAATCATCAGAAATTTGGCCCGGTCTTTGTAAAGTTACAAGCACTGTACACAGAAAGATGTATATGGGACTATGCACACGTGCGCGAACTTGTGCGTTTATCTCTCACACACCAATAGATAAACTAATTTACCAAATATATCAATTAGTAGGCGGTTTCCCGGCAAAATTTGTATCATTGTGTATTAGTCAAAACATATTCTTTCACATGATTGGTATAAGAGCTTCCATTTCATTTTTTGAAATTGGGGAGTTTCTAATACTGACCTTTACCTTTAAGTACAGTACATGTAGGTCAGTACATAGTCAATACATACATGTAGTTTGTCATGGCCTTTGATTTGGTTTGTATACAAGATGTACATGTAGTACAGTGTAGTTATAGATCATGGGATAATTAGAGAGAACAGGAAACTAAAAGTCTGATTGTAATGGCCATGTCACACTGATGCAATCTGTACTGATCTGCCCTTTCTGATGATAGCAGAGTGTACCAAAGATGGCCTCCTGATGAATACGTGTAAATAAACATTGATGATATCATCATGTATGTTCCATCCCATTCCATCATCCATCTCTCTCTCTATCTTTCCCTCTTTCTCTTTCTCTCCTTTTCTTTCTCTCCTTTTCTTTCTCTCCTTCTCTCTTCCTCAATCATCCCCTCTCTCTATCCTCTCTCTCTCTTTCTATGTCTTTTCTGTCTGTCAAGTCTTTGCATCCATATAAATTATACCTCTGCCCATTGGTCTTCTGTCCCTTCTCTTGCAGTTATTACATGTGTACCATCTGTGCAGTGTGCAGTAATAGTTATTCTGTACTGCTCTATCTCTGGAAGTCCTCGGTCTATTATTCTTTTCCTTCATTCTTCCACTGTCTCTATTGCACTTTTTTTTTAATTGTCCATTTACATAATCTTTCCTTTCATATGCACTCTCTCCCCACTTGTTTTTTCTTTTCTTTTCTCTTCTCCTTTTCCTCCCTCCTCTCCTCTCCTCTCTTCTTCTCCCATGTCTCCTCTTCTCACCCTTCCCATCTTGTATCCTCAAGATTTAATTTCCACCCTCCTCATCTTTTGCTTCTGTTCTTCTGCTCTCTCTCCTCTCCTCTCATTCTGTTACCTTTTCATACATTTATACCTGTATAGTGTCTGTTCTTCCTCTTATTCCTTTCTCCATTCCCCCTTTTATCACCATCCCAATCTGTCCTTCTTGTTTTTTCATACATGTACTTTTTTTCCTTATTTCATTTTGTCCCATTCTACATCTTCTCTTCTTCCCTCTTCACTCCCTATGCATTTCATTTGTTTGCATTCCCATTCTCTCATCCAGGCTTTCCTATCCTCTTCCATCCATCTGTAAATATACTTCTATCCCCCTTATTGCTTGCATTGTTACAGGGCCCACACCGGCCATTAATGACCTCATTAAATTACCAAATTTTATCTTTCATTCTCTCTGTCTGTCCATCTTTCATTTCTCTCTGGCCTTCCTCTATCCTCTCCTTTTGTTTCTTGTTCTCTCCCGCTCACCTTCTCCAGCCATCATGTCTGTTTTGCCTCCTCCTGTCTCTGTCTGTCTTCTTCTCACTTGAAGAACCGTAGTCCACCATCCAGTAATGACCTCATTAAATGATCAGGTCCTGCTGATTGAGTGCTACGGCCAGGTGACAAGGCTACTTCTTGAATATAGATAACAATTGTAGAAGCGTGTTCTACATGTATCTCAAAGGCTCCTACATACATTTGAGCAAGATACACATTAATACCTGTATCTATAAAGCTGCCACTTTTGAGCTACAGTAAGTAGCATTAAAAATGAATTACACAACATTTCATTTGATTATGTAATTATGAAAAAATATGTGATTTGACTTTGCAATGGAAAAGTGCTTCTTATTAGGAATTTGTTGAACCTTATATTTGATTTTTTTTGTGGAGCGACTGAAATTGCAGGTCTCTGGGCAGCGAATATATTGTGTAGTTCCTTTGTTATATCTGTTATTTGCATGGATATGTACGTGTATGTTTGTATACTCTGTATACCATGTGCATGTGTTTTTATGTTTTCTTAGAAGTGAATTCAGACCAATTGTATGTTCGTAAAATGTCCATATTCTTTGTTTTCTTCTGATTTCAGCTGAAAGCTTCCAACAAGGCCACACTGTCCAGGGGCCAAATACCAATCAGTGCTATCCAGGTCCGAAGACTACCCCACAGGACGTTCCTCTCAGCCAAGACACTGGGCTTCAATAAGGACCTTCTGGTCCTCACCACAGACTTCCCAGGACTAGGTGACGCCAATGAGACCAAAGAACTCTTAGAGGACGCGCTAGTAGACGAGCGTGAGGCGTTCCTGCTTTCGCAGAACAACAACGGTCCGGAGGTCTGCAAGCTCAACGGTAGCAGCAACAGAGGCAGCGTTAGCGGCTCCACATCCGACATTCCAAGCCGCATCGAAGGGTCCGTGACAGACAGCGACAGTATCCGCGATCGCAGCCAGGACTTGACAGACTCGGACGACCAAAGTACAAACGATTTCTTGGACGACGAGTACGAACTTCCGTGCCACGATCGGCTGGCTGATGTTAACCTGTATGCACTCTCACCTCATGACTTTGACTCTCCGGATTCGATATTCAGCCGTTCGCTTGCTGATCTGACTGACCTGAGCCTATGTAAGTTTTGGAACGTAAAGGAATGCTTTGCACTGGCTGCATGAGAGAGAACTAATCCATAACTTAAGACATATCTTTTATGAGGAGTGATTGACTCTTTGAGATGGGAATAACTGCATGAATTGTGGAGAAAAAAAACATATTTTTATCCAATCATTCATACAGCATTCATTGAGGCAGGATTCCTGGATCCTATCTAGAACCATTCTAACATTTGCTTGTATAGACATCACCTCACTACCACTTCATCAAACCTCAGTTACTCTTCACCAATTAACTAACAATCTGTTGCCTAGCAACTGCTTGCCGTGGAAACTAGCTGCTTTCAAACACTGCATCATGTCTAACCAGCTTGCCCAAAATGCCAAAGGCTCTGGCCGGAAACGTAAATTTGATTCCCCTTCGACGTCACCAGCATCGTCTAAGCAAACTACTTCATCCGATGAGACCATAGCAACCAGTCCTCATAGATCAGAGCCAGAGGATGATGCAATGGTGGAGCTTGATTTCCAAAGTGGGAGCGTTTCATTCCATGCAAAGCGTCACAAATTATCCATACCGCCCTCTACAAAAGATACTATGATTATCAAACCCTCCATGACTGACAGTCCAAGCCATGAGGCACATCTTCGTTGCCATAAAGATGACCTTTCAACTGATACATGTATTGCTAGAGTGCAGTGTCAAACCCCACTAACATCCCCGTCATCTTATACCGTTTCACCTTCGAAAGCCCCAAATGCATCATTACCGGCTACATTAACACCAGCTTCAAGTATGCTAATGCCTGCAGACGATCAACTAACACGTTCGGAGAGTCAGGTTGGGGTTGCTTTGCCGGGCTTACTAAAACAATCGCTTATCTCATCTAGCCAAGATATACCCTCACCAAGTTCTCATCAAAATGTAGTCTGTCATCCTAGCTTACACTCACCTAGTAACATTACTTGCCAGTCATCAACTGACAAGAAGCTCTTTTGTAGCGATGAAGAAAATGCCAAAGAAGATGTATCAGGGCTGCGATTCATAGATGATTATTACTCAGTAATGGATGAATATCATTCAGGGACAGATCATGTAAGGGATATGCCAAAGGAATCTTGGGGAGAGGAAATGGAAAGTGTACATTTACAGGCTTTGAGAACCTCAAAGACTGTTCCAAGTCATATAGAACAGTCTGATGTAATGACTGAAAGTAGGGTTGTACAGAGCAACCAGGAAGAAAGCTGTAAGGATTTTTCGAAGCCTTGTAAACAGGTCGAAGCAAAAGACGTAGAACCTGACAAAAGCCATGATAGCACAGTGACTGTCTCAGAAGCAAAGACTTCTGCAAAAAGGACAAGGTCAAGGGACCACTCTCCTGTTAGAGAAACTTTGAAGAGAAGTTCAGCTTTGGGGAAAATGGTACCGAGAAGTGTCGCATTACATGCGCAGGGTGGAAACATGGGTCCAAGTCAAATGAGAAGGGCCAAAGCAAGAGAGAGTTCCAGAAAGGCACCTACATGTAGACAATCTCTTTTAAAAGTCGGCAAATCCTCAAGAAGTTGTCCAATGTCAGATGAAGATGACATCAGTAGCAAATTAATAGGACAAACAAGCAAATCCGAAAGGGATGAACTTATGGAGAGTGAGGGTAGCGATTCCGTAGTAGGTGATGCGGAAAGGGAAGATGTCCTTGGGACAGAATGTTCATCTTCCAAAGAATTGGCAGTTAGGACAGAACTAGCGTTATTAGAAGAAGATGAAATGGAAGTGGACAATGAATGTCCGGTTGGTAAGGAGCATCATGAGCATGATAGTATGGACTGCTTGGCTTATAAGGGAGATGAGATTGTTGAGGCTGAAGGGAGGAAGGAGGAGACAGGTGGGGAAGGGTCATCAGGTGGTCCATTTCCAGGGTTACCAGAGTCTTTCTCTGGACTTCAAGAATCTGGTCTAGCAGCTATTGATCTCTTTCCTACAGATGAAGAGTTTGGTGTCGAGACGATCAGACGGAGGCGAGCCCTCTTGGGTGCCGACAAGGGAGGTGAGTCTGCGGAAAGTCTTTGTGTTGAAACTACCAAACCCCAAACATACAGGCCCAAATTCATAAAGGAGGTTCGTCGATAAACCTGCACTTCACCGCGTTTCAAACCAAGGTTTGTCTGAACGTTGGTTTGAAACGCTTCCAAACGCATATGACGCACATAAAGCTTGGTTTGTTGACAAACCTCCTTTGTGAATTCGGGCCACAATGTTGTATTTTGTTGTACATGTTAAGCAAAGGACATCATGTCAGGCAAAATGAATCCATACTTGTATGGCTAGCAAGATAACAAAACAGACAAGAACAGATCAAATAGGTGGATAATTACATCCCTAGTGCATTTGTCAAATGAATGTATTTAACAAAGGAAGTGTAAGAATAAGACCAAGGTTTGTCTGAACCTTGGTCTGAAACACATCAGAACTCGTCATATGACACACATAAACCTAGGTTTGTTGCCAAACGGCCTTTGTGAATTCGGGCCTATGGCTTTGTCCCTTATTTTGAGAACGTGGATGAATAGGCGATCATGTTTAATAAAAGGTACTTTTCAAATCCACTGTTATCAAAAGTGCAGAGTTAAATTGTATGCATTGCATAATAATCAGTAATCTCTTTTCCAAAAAGTATCTTAAAACATGCTTGATTTAAATTAGATCATATTAGATATAAGGATGTGTTGACAAAATTGAATGTTTGTATTGAAGTGCTATGAAAGACTGAATTTCACTGAAAAATCATTAATTTGCATGTCATACTTTCCCATGCTATCCAAGCCGACAGATTGCGGGAATGTTAGCTTTTCTGAAAAGTATATTTCCTGACGCTTTATACCCCATATGGGATCTGTGTATTAAGGGATTTGGTAGAATGGCCGACAAGACTTCAGTTGAGTAATCTCCTTTGGTGCTTCAGTGTGGTTTGAAGTCTCAATGTGTGTGGCAGAGGGCATACCATATGAGCTGATGAGTCACTCTGCCAGTCAGTGAAACTATAAACCCATAGTGCCCAAGCTACAAGTACAATTTGTAATCTGTAAACATGCATGTTTCCATGCACTGCGTACAAATGTACCTCTCTGTAATGACAGCTAAACTGCAGTGACGGTTGAAATATGATTTCAGCATAAAAAAAAATATAAAGAAATAACTGGTGAGAAGCGAAGAAAAAAAGAAGTAATGGGGCCTAGGGCAGTTTGCTTTCTTTCCCCCTGATACAAGAAAGACCCCTAACATATCAAATATTTGTATATCCAAAATGGTCAGTCAAAAACTTGGTTACCACCTCTAACTTTATAAAGAGCCTAACAAATGGAAGAGACCCCAAATTAAATCATGAAGGCTATTTTTAACTCTTAACAAACTTGGCTATTGTGTTATGTGTTTTTTATCTATCACAATGCATTGAAACAAATTGCTTTGAGCAGTTCTATGTGTATGCCAACCTTATTGAAGTTTTAGACCACATATGGGATCCAAATATGAAGGGATTGGATTGGATGGTCGAGAAGGCTTTAGTTTGGTAATCTCTTTTGGTGCTAGGTTCGGCAGTGCTTGAAGACTCAATGTTGGAGAGCATTTCATTGATGAGTCATGGTACAAGCAGCATTTGAAGTGGACAGGTTTTGGAACAAAGTGACCTGGGGGGTGTTTCACAAAGACTAAGATCGACTTCAAGTTGGAATTACCTATGGCAGGCCATTCTTGCCACTGTTTTCTCTCACCATTTACTGGCATTGGTCTCTCAAGGGACGTACAAATCATGGTCACAAATCTACAGAATTTACATTTTTTGATAGTTCACTATTGAAAGAAAAATTATTATCTAAAGATCATAATGGTGATAGCAAATAGAGGCATGAACAGCCTACCATAGTTATGTCCAACTTAAAGTCGATCTTAGTCTTTGTGAAACACCCCCAGGTCACTTTGTTCCAAAACCTAGCCTCCTTCAGACTCAATCCTTTCATCATGACTCTCTGTATCAATTGAAATGGGCACTGTAATTGTCCCCATGGACACTAAACCAAAGATGAATAGTGGTAGAGCCTATGGACAATTGTGATTACACCAAAATTAGATTATACCCAATTGGGTTGGTACAGTGGTGATAGTTTGTATTCTGTAGCATTTGTTTGTTGCGTATTTTTAAGGTACTGTCACATGTACTTGTGTGATATTAAAACTGGATATTAAAGAAGTTAATTATCAATGCCATATATGTCCTATTTGATTTTTCCAAGGGAAATTAAAGTGGTCAAATTGAGCATAGATTTAATATAAAATTTCAAATTTCAAATTTATTCATGTTTCCAACAAAACATTACAAATCAATTATAAGCATTTAAAACAAATGTAAGAAATACATGTTGGAAACAGAGGAGTCCACTAAAAATCAATGCTTGTACAAGTGTGAACACCTCAAATAATACTTAGGAATATTGAGTAATTAAATTGACTAATCTGTAACTACAAAATGAACTACAAAATAGGGAAAAGAAAAAGGGGGATGCCAACAGAGACGAGAAAGGGACAAGACAATACTTTACACGACAAAGATAGAAGAACACGGTCATAATACAAAGAGTAGACAAGGACAAAAAGAAGCAGATGCTCTTCAACAAACCTCTTCATCATGTCTTTCAAATGTTTATCATCACTTTCTCTCTTGACCCTTGACCTATGACCTCAGGAAGGGATAGTCTTCTCAAAGAGGCGACCAGGAAGCTTTCCCTCAAGGCAAAGAAGAGGAAGCGGCGGACATCGGACAAGTCCGGCGGTGATGGGTCGGTGATCGGTGGAGGGCTAGACGAGGGAGACGACAAAAAGCAGAAGAGAGTCGCACCAAACTACTTTGTTGCCATCCAGGTGTGCAGTCCAGAGGTGAGAAAGAGGTGGTGTTTTATAGAGTCTTTCAGTAATCATTTGTGGATCAAGGGTGTGTTTGCATGGGGGCTTGTATAGACATATTGACTGCTATGAGAGGCCTGGCTGTTTGATAGGCTCAAGGGGACGTTGCATCCTGCCATGACCCGAGACGCGCCTATATAATTATATTATGATTAAATAAGCTGATGTTCATAAGGAACATCTTTCCACACTTAGTTGCTATTATGATTAATCAAGGTTAATTCAAACATGAAGGCCTATTAAGGATCTGTTCTATTCATCCACGAGGCAGTGGATGAATTTTCAATAGTTATCATTGAAAATAAAAATCCCTTTCAGAGTAGGTGTTCTTCAAAAATCTGATATTAGAAAGTCAAGATACATGTTCATGTATCCGACTATTGATTTACAATTATGTAATTTAATAAGACTTAGACTTAATTAGGAAATTTACTCACACTTTTTAAAAGGAAGTGGATGTTTTGCCTTCAGCCGTACGACACATCAGATTTCATATCATTTTCACTTCAACCACAAGACCCCGCTGACATTGATATCATAATGACTAAATTTAGCTGCTTTTAATTTAGTGTAAGCAATGCATGAAACTGAAGTGCCAAACACATTTATTAATCAATATAAACATCTCTATTTCAAGTGCTAGAGACAAGGGCATGAACTTGGTTGGAGGTTTGCTGATCATGAAATCTCAATTAGTTTGTCTCCGAAATATTCATTCCATGTGTGCTAGTAGCAGGAACTTGAAGCTGGAGGAATTCCCAATTAAAATTCAGGATGGCATATCTTTCTGCAAACGTTAAAGGCCAGAGGAATTGCAGTGTGATTATTTTCTTCCTATTTGTAGTACTAGTACATGTACATGTGTATGTGTAGAAAATTTATACAAAATAAAAGTAGTAATGAAACGTTTTAATTTGGAAAGTGCTTATGCCTGAATATAATAGCACCCAGGGGCCAGGGTGCACAGAAAAATCCAGAAATTTTATTGAAACAAATGTTGAATAATTGATGAAAAATGACAAGTTACAACCATAGAATGAGAACAAGCATCAAAGGAAGGTGTTAAGTTTCAAAAATAATTGATAAGCATTGTATAAAATGTCTTTCTCATTTGCCAGAATTGGTATCAAAATCAACTTCTTCTTTTGCCAAAGTAAAAATTATCATCATTATTATTATCGTCATCATCATCATCATTAGCATCATCATCATCATCAGCATCATCATCATCGTCATCATCATCATCACCATCATCATCATCATCATCATCATCATCATCATCATCATCATATTCATCATCATCATCATCATATTCATCACCATATTCATCATCATCATCATCATATTCATCATCATCATCATCATCATCATATTCATCATCATTATTATCACCATTTTCATTCTCATGTATGTGGGGTGGAGCTGTAGGGGGTTTAAAAATGTGATATTCTAGTTTCCATTTCAAACTTCAGAACAATTTTGTTAAAGGCTTCATAACAAAAACCTGTTATACTGATTGCCAGCCAAACAATAAACAGGTGGATTAAAACTTGCATTTAATCAGAGACAGGTCACACACAGTGCCATTAACCCAAACACGCCATGATGGCTTTGAAATGTATCTTGAAGCACTAATCTGGTATTTCCTGAGTGTAAGGACAAAGCCATCAAGCCCCTCAACCGCAGAGTGATAAAGCTAGGCTTCCTGGCAAGAGACCCGTCAATTATGACAGAATCTGTATATTCCCTCAATCGGCAACAAGTGTTTACTTGCCGTCATGAGAAATGGAATAATACATAAATGTTATGAGGCTTTTATTCATATATGCAGGTACTTTTATGAAGCTACTGAAAGTAGCAATAACTTTTCAACTAATATCATAATAATAATAATAATAATAATATTCCGCTTTTATATAGCGCTTAATACATCTAAGATGTCTCTAAGTGCTTTGCAGCTACAATGCCATACATGTGTATTTGCATACATGACTTAGGAAAGTTATAACAGAATCAAACTCAACTCGTCATTCTAATCTAAAATAAACAACAAGTGGATATATTAGGAATCTTGGTATTTTTATGATCAGCTACACTCGTTCGTTCGTGTCTCCTTAGATCAAGATTAAAGGTAATACAAAGTTTTGGGAAATTTTGAAAATTGGATGGATAGTGAATCTTTACAGTTTTGATATATTTGGATGCCCCTGTGGATGTATTATAAGCACTAAAAAAATTAGCCCCTAAACACTTCTGTTTTCGAGAAAAATTGAATATAAAAATTTACCGGTGCTCCCGGTAAATTTGGATATATTTCAAATAGCGCCTATGGCCGTACAATCGTAGCTGCGACCATGAAAATCTCAGAATATGTAGTTGGGATATATAATTTCCGAACGGGAATAGCTAATCGGTCGATTTCAGTCAAGAAACATTGTTTCATAGCTAAATTAATATCTTGACCTTGAGAGGGAGCTATACAACATAAAGAGTTTATTATTTATAATTTCATAACTTTAGACTCGATTTCAACCGCGACAACGATCAATGTATATTATAGGAACGCATATGCTTCCAATATGTTAATTTGAACCAAATTCATGACCCCATACCAAAACTTTGTAATACCTTTAATGTATCTTGATCTTCGGAGTAGTTGCTACAACTGGCCGTGTCAGACACGTTGCCGCGGGGTGCGAGATAGGACTCTTGTAGCGTGCCCCCATTTAAAACAGTTATACAATAACAGTTAACATTGCATTTAATTAATAGTATGAAACTATTAAAATTACTCTCATGTTACAGGAAAAAATATTATATATATATATATACTTTGAATCAATTGATTTGGTCGATCCAGTTCGATGGCCCAAACACAGCACTACTGGACAGAGATCCTAATAATTATCAGCTACACTGTATCTGGCCTAACAGAACTTTATGTACATACTCAGAGGGGGGGGGGGGGGGGGGGGGGGGGGGGGGGGGGGGGAGCAAAACTTTAGAACATATTTGAAAGCATTGACAGGTGGCCATGTTCCCACAAGACATACATGTAGTAAACTGAGAAAAAGAAAAGAATGCTAGCACAATTGAGACATATATGAATACAAGGATGTAAACAAATAAGGAGCTGCATGCAACAAAGGTTCTAAGCCTACTTCCTTTTCTATATTTTATAAGATACAATATTATAGTTGTCTCATTATTTTGCTGCATATTATTAGCAGTCTGCTGCAATGACCACATGTGGACACGGCTTTAGTTGGCCCAACCTACATGTAAGTCTATGCGTGGGCCTACAAGTATTTATGTATAGACATAGCTACTCAGGCCACTACGGAAACTAGCTTGGGGGTGTGTTTATATTTGGCCGTGACTAAGTCTTGACGATCTAGATCAGATGACACGGGGGATTTAGGGTTATGTCGAGGGAGATGAAGTGCAAGCTTACGACGCAAGACGGTAATTTGTTAGCATTAGTCTAATGGGCTAATAACGTCCGACGGTGAACCTCTTTCGCTTTCCGATACATGTATCCCATGTTTGTAATCACATGATTGTATCAAGTTACAGGAAAAGGAGATGGAAGTTGTGTACATGTTAGTAGTTAAACCTGGCACAGTGTAGGGTCGAGGAAATGTCAAACTTATTAGAGGATCCTTTTCCAATAAGCTGCTGTGTTGTTGAAGTAGTGCCAAATAGTTGATAAACCAAAGCAAACAAATGTTAATGAAAATCATTCCCAATAAATTACAGTGTACAGCAGCTTTTTTACCAATCTATATGAGCCCTAATTATGTATGTAGATTTTAGTTTTAATATTATACTCAATTTCACAGTATGCAAAGATAAATCATTACAGTAGGATTTTGTATATGATATAATTGTTTTCATGTTAGGTTTATTCAAATCTTCCGTTTAATCAAAGAGTCTAAATAATTTTCTTTCACCTTTGTCCTAGAGCAAAGCACAGTTTTGAAATTAACTTAGACAATAATTTCAACCATGCCCCCACAGCTAACCAAGGGGTGGTTTGTACAAGACTAGTAGGTTCTCATCCACACATTAGGGACTTTTAGAATTGTCAAACGACAACGTGGATTGCTACGATCGACGTACTTGTAATGCACTGCCTTGAATGGACGTCTCACGTATCAGTCCACGCAAATCTAAAAGTCCCTATTTGCTCCTTTTCTGTAACTTGTCTATTCTTCTTAGAAATAATGTCCAATGTTAACAAGAGGAAGTATGTTGAGCATATCTCACTCTTCTTATGTTACTCTATCCACCTTTCCTTCTTATTCTTTCTTACAGCGCATAGAGAAATATTGTGATATGCGCTATAGAAGTACGGTATATTATTATTATTATTGTTGATTGGGAAAGAAATGAACATCAGAAACAATTTTTTCTCTCTCTCTCTTTCTTTCTCTTTCTCTCTCCCTCTCTCTCTCTCTCTCTCTCTCTCTCTCTCCTTCGTCACGTCCAGATTCACCAAGCTCTTCAGAATGTGCAGCAGACAGTGATGGCAGGAGATGAGAAGCTGAAGGATGCTATGGTTCCCATACCAACGCTTCATCTGACCATCATGGTCATGCATCTAGCTAACGATGAAGATGTAGAAAGGTAAGATAATCATTCAAACTTTCATCGGATGACCATTTAGAATCGTACAGCCGATAGGTCTTATCCTGTAAAGGTGTTGTGGTCTAGTGGATAAGTCACCCGACACGGTACGCACTTAAAGTCCTGCCACGGCTTTAAAAAAAATGCATAGAATTATCAAAATGCTTGGAATTGATCAGCAGCAATTATCACCAGTGGGAAGAACATTCACAAGTAACAACCAACATTTAAATAGGTTATCCTGTGTTAAGAACAGATAATAGTGAGGCCAGCTGAAAGCAGCTACATTGTTTTACCTTTAAACCCCAAATCAGATTGAATTGTTATCGATAACAAAAAGTTGTTGTGCTGCACCTGTTGTTCTGATTTCTTTCTTCTTTTTTCTCTTTCAATCATCCTATTCATCCTGTTTTTCTGTAAGTGATTCCCACACTCCCATCCTGTAGCCTCTCTCTCTTTCCTTCTCTGTTTTGTTCTTCCGTGTACCACTGTTTTTTTCTTCCCCCTTTTGGCCTTTAATTTCCCATCCAAGAGTCAGACTAGTTTTGCTTTAGTGCCATATTTAGAAGAGCTATAATCTCTTTGCCAAGAAGTAATCAGCTTTCTTGGAAATGATGGGAGGGGGCACATTCACATATCCCTGACTGAGACGTATAAACAAAACATTGTACAGTTATTAATAGGGATAACAACTTTATGTTCTGAGACACAATGTGGATGTAGTTATACTTAGAACCCTCAAAGGTTTGTTCAGATATGTGTCAATGAATGACATCTTTGCATATTTAATAGTGCTCTGGTGTATTAAAGACACCAAAATATAGTGTATTACACTTGCATTATCACAAAAAAAATACATGCTCCGGTTTACCAAGTCATATCTGAAAAAGTTTTTTGTGTTGCCTACGGAATCATGATAATATTATATTTTTTGAAGGCTCAAGTGTCAAATCAGTGCATGTAGCCAGTGCTGAAATTTTGTAATGGTCATGATATTGTGTGTTGGAACGTAAGGGGTTCTGCTCGCTTTTTATAAGGACGGCTATTCACTTAGTCACGCGTTATGGATAGCGGTCCTTATGAATAGTGGTCCTTATGTATGGCGGTCCTTATGAACAGAGAGCTTAATTGGCTATGGTTTGCTCTCTATTTATAAGGCCCGCCATTTATGAGGGATCGCTATTCATTTTGTTACGCATTATGGATAGCGGTCCTTATGGATAGCGAGCTTGACCCAACATATGTGTGTAACCACTTTTCCTTTTTTCTTCTCTTTCAGAGCCAAGCTAGCCTTGATGGAGTGCCATCGGTTACTAGGTCCAGAGATCACCCGCAAGAAACTCAACGTGTGGTTCCATGGCTTAGGACACTTCAACAATCAGGTCATGTTCGCTAAGATCAAGGACATCGATGGGATCCTCGACACGCTCTATAATGTAGCAGGTATGATAGTGAAAATATTAATTTGAATTTCTATAGCTCTTCTTACATCTGCAATATCTCTTGGTGCTTTACAAGACCAGTCAACCTGTCTATAGCAACCGCCCAAGGGAAACACGAAAAAAGTGGTCTTTGTAGACGGGTTCCTTTAGTACATGTTTCAATGAGTAACAATTTTCTAGGGAAACAAAAAAATGTGGTCTTTGTTGACAGGTGGTCACTAAAGCAGGTTTGAATGTCATTGGATAACACTCAGTGTGTGCACAGTCTCCACAGGAGGACTCAAAATTGGATTTTGAGGGGATGAGAAACCTGGCCCAAGTTTCAAGAGTTTAGCCCTCTAGAGTTCAACTATTCTATTTTGGTAGAATTTGGCATCTGGTTGTCTTAATAACAATAATAAAAATGGGTCCTTGTATAGAGCTCATGTCTGTTTGCGCTGCTCAATTGTTGTGGGACATCTATGAATAAGAATCCTTAGAATGCCCCGTTAGCTTTTTTTTATGAAGATGAGAAAAGTGATATGAGCTTATGGTAGCAAGGTAAACATATCTGTTTTTATACCAATTTTTTCCCCCAGAAACCGCTTAGAACTGCTACCAGTGTTTGAAGATCAATGCCAAACTTTAAAGGTATAGACCAGTTCTGGTCATGCGATTGCATTGTGAAAGAAAGGTTGTGGAATAGATCAGAAAAGGTTGATCATCTAGCATATAGTACATGTATTGGTGTGTATTGCAAGGTTCTGGAATCATCAAAATGATAAGAAATTTGGCCCAGTTTTTGATAAGCACTGTACACATAAAGATGAATATGGGAATACGCAATATCTATCCAGTCCCGATAGATGTAATAATGTACCAAATATATCAATTAGTAGGCGGTTTCTTAGCAAAATTTGTATCACCACGTATTAGTCTATACCTTTAATTTTTTTTCTTTCACATTTTTGTTCCGTTCCAGAAACTGTTGAGAACTGCTACCGACGCCATGGCATCCAATCCACCGGAGAGAGAGGGTTCAAGCCTCACCTCACCGTCATGAAACTCTCTCGCGCCCCTAGTCTGCGCAAGAAGGGCGTGCGTCGCATCAAGTCTGAGCTCTACCGCCAACACAGTGCGACGGTGTTCGGGAACCAACCGGTCAGTGGTTTTCAGCTGTGCTCTATCAACAAACCAAAGAGCGAAGACGGGTACTACTACAAAGCACACGAGGTGCTCTTTAATGAAGGTATATACCTCTACCAAGACTTATTTAATCGGTGATTTTACATTTACTCCTGCGACATTGCTCTTTACAAATATCACAAATTTTGTCAAAGATGTAGGGTAAGGCCTCATTCAGATATGAAGCGGCAAAACAGCTGCATTATAATGACGTAAAGTGAAATATGTATCCCACCTCTGTATCTCAAAACGCATAGCTTAGTGAATACACGTTGGATCTTCATTGCACGCAGATGCCATTGATTTGCACATAGAAAAGCTGCAACTGTTTTTTGTAGCCGTTTATCGCGTCATATCTGAACGAACCCTTGGCTTTAGGGTAAGGGGAACAAGTCATTTTAAGGGTTACATATAGTGTTAGCCATGGTTGAAAATTGAAGCTTGATCATTGAAGGAAATTATTTTTTTTTTCTCCTTTTGCAAAGCAGTAAACAGCATGATTTTGTAGTCAAAATAGATTGTCAGACGTTTTTTTTTCTTCCTAGGACCACATCTAATAATAAAAATTTGTGATTCTATGTATTGAATTGGAATGTATGTATGCATGTACATGATTCAGTTACAACCGATTCAACATTCACACTTTTGTAATGCATTAAAACAGCCACCACGTAGAAACGTTACATGAATGTTCCTGTTTTTACAGTGTTTCTGTTCATTTGATTGTGTAGATGTTTCACCAATCCCTGACCCCTTTGACTTGACTGGCATGGATGATGGTCCAAAGGGGCCAATCACAGAGCACGTCTCATCCAGTGTCATAGAGGAAGAGCCTAAAGAACCAATGACAGAGGGTGTTTCATCTCCAGTGGAGCCCTCTGACAGTCGAGCAGCCAATCAGACATCTGGTATGAATGTTATTCATGTTTCTATAATTGTGGCTGAATCTGTCTTCAAATATTTTATTAAAACCTTTTAGTTAATAGATACACCCATTACATTTTTTATGTAACAAAGACCCTTGGGTATGTGTATTAAAAACATTAAGAAAAGAAAAAGAAAAGAAGGTATAAAGAAACCCTCCATACTATGTTGATGGGGTTGAAGGAATGTTTCTATCAGCCATCGAGTCGGCTGAAACAGAACTGTAAAAATGAAGGCTCATTGAAATATGATGCGGTAAACCACCAATAACACCACTGTGTTTTATTTTAGTAGGTAAATGAATAGCAACTGTACGTAACCAAGGTCCTAATGAGTATTCACTAACCTCTGTGTTAAAAGAGAGAGAAATGTGGAGCATATTAAACTTTACATTGTCATAAAATCATCATATTTGAACGAGGCTTGAGAGAAACAAATCAGTCAAATGTTTAAATTCTCAGAATATTTATTACACTTGTTCCTTGCATATTTGAATCCTCACAAATCTTTTCTTTCATCCCACCCAAGAATCCCTTGAAGCCAAAGAAGCATCACAGACTCCAGATACCGAGCCCCAGACATCACCCACTGCCAACACAGAGGGCGACAAACCATCCACATCTGCACCTACTTGATGTCACTTCAAGATAGTGTCTTTGAGAGAAGCACAGTGCCTTAAAACAGCGCATGGCTTTTAGCTGTGTATTTATTTATATGCAACTGCTCACAAGTAAATGAAATGAATAAGTTGTACTATAAGTCGATAGTGAGTATTTTGTAAATGTTTATGAATGATTCCCTGTGGGGAGAATGTGTTCATAATACGTCTGAATAATCTTGATTATGTAATCTATACATGTCTATGTAATGTTGTCTTTGAGAAAGAATCTTGTAAAGGAAATGAATTTTGTAAACTTGATGATGATGATGATGATGATGATGATGATGATGATGATGATGCTGCTGCTGCTGCCAACGATATACATGTAGGCAATACTGTTCACTGCAATTTTTGCATATTTTGAATGAAAGAGGATGATGATCGAATGATGGTGATGATGGTGATGTTGATGATGATGATGATGATGGTGATGATGATGATGATGATGATGATAAAGAATAATTGTTTTTTGAAATGGTATCGGCAAGTATCTAACATGAATGTATTTAAAAGGTTAACATTCATATAAACTTGGTTCAATATTATCGCAATAACTTCTGTATGTATGCACGATATGTCTTCAACACGTGACTGGTGGTTACGATGATGAAAGCTACAAGTGAGATTAATGTTGTATTTGATGCCGGTTGTCTCGGTACACTTGTAACTTATGACTCGTTGATAACAAAGATCTGACGCCTATTCGTTGTACATACATGTAACAAAATCATTATGATTATTGGACAGCAACGGCAAAAAATCATCATTTTAAGTGCTATTGCTTCAAATATGCACAATGGACACCTTTTGTTTTAGGTTTACATTTTATTTATAAGAGCTATTTGCTACATGCCTTGATCATGCAACTATTTGAGGGCTGTACTGTTGATGTAGGCTCTCCTTATAAGATTGTAGAAAATTTAAAGCCATGTTTTATGCTGAATATTCACTGTATACAACGCTGTCTTAAAAGTAAAGTTTGTAATTGTTTTTAGGTTAATTTCAATGTTGGGAGTAAAGTAATTGTCCAGCCGAACTGATTTGAAATTTAAGTGTTTTATTTGTTTGGGCTAAGTGAAGATCATTTCTGTTTATTTCTCAAGCGATTTAATAGTACTGTGGTTTTAGATCATTTCACAAAATCCATAATTTGAACAATTTTGTTGATACCATTCTTGAAAGGTGAGTTAAGTTCTGGTCATTTTTTCTAATGACAATTTTCCACACTTACATGTACATAAAGAGAATGAAAAAGCTTTACATTTTTGTTAATCTCTCCAAAACTCGACCTTCCCTATAATATGTGATTTTTTTCTTTTTCATTTGAGCCAGGATAAGAATTGCCCTTGGAGATTTCAAAGAAGAGATAAGGTTTACAACTTGTTTATTTCAGAAGATGAAGGGGGAAAATAAGGCATTTAAGTCATGAACTTTAATCATTTTAAAGAAATCTTTCTTTTTTGACAAATAACAGTATTCAGCACTTGTGCCTTGCAATTTTAAAAATTTATACTCTTTTCATTTGGCAATGCATGTGAGTCAATGCATCATTTTTGTCTATATAAAAAAAGAAATAGATAAAAAGACAGAATGCTGAATTTTACTTCATTATTTTTTTAGAGGAAATAAAGTAACAGTCCTATTTATGTCTTGTGCATGTAGATTATGATATGATTATGACACAATTACAAAATGTTATGCAATTTTTTTTAACCCTATGCATCTTATACAAATAATGAAAAATTCTTTTTAGTTGGAATGATATTTAATAAAATGGCCTAAAGGTCAGCTTTATTTAAAAAGGAATGGTAATTCGGCATATTTAACCATCTTTTACTTTTTTATCATTTCATTTTTTACTTTCAATTAACTTACAGTAACACATTTGTGTGTCTATTTAAATTGATCAAAGAAACATTGGTGTGTACATATTTTGCTGAAATGAATTGCCATGAAATAGAAATAAATGTGGAATTTTGATTTAAGGTCTTCAGTAAAATGTGAGGAGAAAAAAATAATTTGCCTGACTTTCTATACTTTCATGTTGTGTACAAACCATCTGGTCTAAACATTGTTTTAATGCCCCCAAACCATTGATAAGACGATGTATATCACAGTGTTTCATTATCATCTTGTTTTATGACTCCACAAGAGTTTATAAAATGGCCTTACGATGAGAAGAAAATGTTTTCCTTTTGAAAATTCTCAAACTCGTCCTGAGAGTCTTGCTTCAAAGCTGTAGTATATATTTTTAATTGTTTTTTTAAAACATGATACTATCGATGTGATACTTATAATTAAATACCTGTGTCTTATTAATGATGAAAGTCATGATTTATGCTTTGTATATAGTCGGTGGTGAATAGGTATGACAGTAAAAAAGAAGATGGTATCGTGTATTCTGTTGTATTAGCAATATAAATACATCTCAGTGTGCTAAGTATAGATATATTCTGAGAAATACACGTTTATTTTAATTTAAGTTGCGTGAATTTATTTAAAGGTTACTTATTATGATAGATAGGAGATGGGCAGTCTTCAATTGTCATTTTTTATCGATTGGGAGCCAGTCCACTCTGCTAACAAATTGGATTTCATCAAGGCAGAAAGATCAGGAGTCACAGATCGGTAAAAGCTTAAGGAGAATTTGATAAAGGATATGAAAGTTAAGAATATGAATTTGTTATCAATCATACATTAATTGGCAACTTTGTGACTCACCTCCATTTTGTTACACAGAGAGTTATCAAATATATATCCCTATTTGTGGTCATTTGTGGAATGGATCTCTTTTATGTTAAAAGGCATCGTTTAAGAACCTGCAACTAGGTATGAGGAAAAAGAAAGTGTACGGAATCAGTATTTAAACAATTTGAGAGAAATCACTGAAGTCTGTCAATTTATTTATCAATCATATCTTCACAACTTGTTAACTTCATTATTTTGTGTCAGATTTACCTCAAAGTTTCACTGGTCTGTTTTTCTGATTTTTTCTTCTTTTATGTAAGCCAACTTGATGGCAGGACTGGCTTTCCCTTTAAATCTGCTTTGTATACATGTATGTACATGTGTTATGTAGATTACACTTGAATTAGAGGCATTTATTTGGTATAGTATGGGAAGAGGTGGGTTATTATTTCTAACAGATTTAACAAAAAATTGTAACTCATAGTGTAATACTTATAATTATTGTTTGAATTGCTAAACTGTAGATCAAAAACGATTTACCAAAATGAATTAAAAAGGAAAAATCACAACACGTTTCTTGTGCTGTATTATTCTTATTTGTGTATTGACTGTACGCGCCTATCGTATCTCAACAAAAAGAAGATAATTATAATTACTTTGATTAATTCTGCCATGAATTTATATTAGAGAGAGAGAGGGAGAGATGGAGGTAACTGAGGGGGAGGGGAAGAGATAGAGAGACGAATCTCAAGGAAGAGAGATAGGAGATGGAGGAGAGAGAGGGGGGGGGGGGGGAAGAGATAGAGAGACGAATCTCAAGGAAGAGAGATAGGAGATGGAGGAGAAAGAGAGAGAGAGAGATAACAGAGGGAGGAGGAGGAGAGAGAAGAGGGGAGGAGAGAGAGAGAGGGGAGGTAAGAGAGAGAGGGGAGGTAAAAGGGAGAGGGGAGGTAAGAGAGAGAGGGGAGGAGAGAGGGAGAGATGGAGGTAAGAGGGAGAGGGGAGGTAAGAGGGAGAGGGGAGGTAAGAGAGAGGGGGAGGTAAGAGGGAGAGGGGAGGTAAGAGGGAGAGGGGAGGTAAGAGGGAGAGGGGAGGTAAGAGAGAGGGGGAGGTAAGAGAGAGAGGGGAGGTAAGAGAGAGAGGGGAGGTAAGAGGGAGAGGGGAGGTAAGAGAGAGAGGGGAGGTAAGAGGGAGAGGGGAGGTAAGAGGAAGAGGGGAGGTAAGAGGGAGAGGGGAGGTAAGAGGAAGAGGGGAGGTAAGAGGGAGAGGGGAGGTAAAGGGAGGGGAGGTAAGGAGAGAGGGGAGGTAAGAGGAGAGGGGAGGTAAGAGAGAGAGGGGAGGTAAGAGGGAGAGGGGAGGTAAGAGGGGAGGGGAGGTAAGAGGGAGAGGGAGGTAAGAGGAAGAGGGGAGGTAAGAGGGAGAGGGGAGGTAAAAGGGAGAGGGGAGGTAAGAGAGAGAGGGGAGGTAAGAGAGAGAGGGGAGGAGAGAGGGAGAGATGGAGGTAAGAGGGAGAGGGGAGGTAAGAGGGAGAGGGGAGGTAAGAGGGAGGGGGAGGTAAGAGAGAGAGGGGAGGTAAGAGGGAGAGGGGAGGTAAGAGGGAGAGATGGAGGTAACTGAGGGAGAGGGGAGGAAAGAGAGAGAGACGAATCTCAAGGAAGAGAGATAGGAGATGGAGGAGAGAGAGAGAGAGAGAGAGAGAGATAACAGAGGGAGGAGGAGGAGAGAGAAGAGGGAGGGAGAAGAAGAAGGGAGTTACATTTTATTTTACTCCATCAAAAAAAATTGACGGGGGAAAAAAACGCCAAACACCACTTAAGTCAGTTATGCGGATATTCATATTCATATCTAGGATAACGCTTCTCTCTAGTACAAGACAAAAAAACAAGATAACGAAATAAGAAGAAGGATGTTAAAGCTGGATGGCTTTGGCAGATACAGCACCATCATGAAAGGCAAACTTCCATTATGCCTGTAAAGGAAGTGTATAACCAGTGCATCATCCCAGCAATCTCATACCCTGCAGAAACATGGACACTAACGTCAAAAATGGAAATAAAGTTAGCAGCATCTCAACACAACATGGAAAGAAGACAAGTATTCTAAACATCACATGCAAAGACAGAAAAGCGAACAAATGGATCAGGGAGCAGACAAAAGTCCAGGACATCCTTGAAACAGTGAAAAGAAGAAAATGCAATTGGGCGGGCCACATCAGCCGTAGAAATGATTATTGCTGGAGTGCATCATGTATGATGGAAAACGTAACAGGGGACGCCAAAGAAAAAGATGGAGAGATGAGTTAATTGGTACTAAAGTAACAGTACAGGCAGCTGAACAGAGTCATTTGGAGACAGCAGGCGGACACATGATAAACAGTTGACCGTCTTTCAGTGCTCATCAACACCATTCGCAGAATCCTTCTTCCCTGAAGTTGTAAAACTATGGAATGACCTACCTCAACTAAACGTGGACATCAAATCCAGCACAGTCTTCAAATCTGCAACCCAAAAATTAAACCAAATAGCATAACCCCTGAAATACACAAATCTATACTCTCATCACGCCAAGTTATACTTCCAATTATAGTTCCTAGCGGACCTTCCGGAAGAGTCGAACACAAGGTACAAGGTACAAGGTACAAAGTACAA